GTGTCTGCGATGGCAGAATGGGTGGTCGGCAAGATGAAAATGCGGAAGTACAGCTTGTACTTTAATCAATGGCCTGGGAGGGCAAGCAAACGCTGCCGGATGACAAGTTTTGTGCCATCTGCGTAATTCAGCAGAGCTTTGCCGTGGGGCAAGGAGAGATATGTAAGCACTGGTTTGATGGAAGGAAGTTTACAGTTAATGTACACACACTACCCACACTGTTAAGATAAAGAGCTGGTTGAAAATCGGAGAAGTGCCCTTTTCAGCAAAGATAGTTGTGTTTAGATTTCCATGAGCCAACAAATGGATACACGTAGGGTTTTAGCGGTATACTGGTTTCAAGGTATACCGCTGTATGAATCATGAGTGCTAATATCGTAGGCAACTGGACTTGCTTGCATTTCTTGAAGACGTTTCGACTCTCGTCCAAGAAGCTTCTTCAGTTCTAAGTAGGGATGCACCGAAAATTCGGTAACCGAACATATTCGGCTGAATATTGCAAAAAAAACCCCACACATTCGGTATTCGGTGGAATAAGTTAAAAGCAAGGCCGAATAACAGTGGCGTGTTTTGATAACGCAATCAAACAGCGTGCCGTGACGGGCGGAGTAAAATGTCGGCAGTGTGGCGATCCGTCCATCACCGCACTCGCATTTGCGACTAAAAATAGTTTTGAGGGAGCAAAATAGGCTTAAATCATTCAGCACACTGTGCGAGCAGCCTACAGATTTCAACCAGCAGCAGAAACGAAATCCAACTGGTTGTGGGTTGAACGGGGGTCACAGACACAGACAGTAATGTATCTCTGTCAAATACGGCGGCCATCGGCTTACCTGCGACAGAGAAGTCGGCTCCAATAATATCCTCTTCTCGGCGTCATGACTGCCCAGAAGTACCTGAACAGCCGAGCCGTGGCGGCACAAAGGTATGTGACGTGTCAGAGGAGAAACGGGCCGATCACATTACTCTTTGTGGCAGGTAACGGCCCACAAACCTCACCGCACTTTAGGGACTGTTCTTTACTTATGAAGGGACTGTTCTTTACTTGTCAGGGGAGGAGGGTGGCTGGTTGATTTTTGTTTTATTTATTTATTTTATTTTGATCCCCCCTATGTTCATCACTTTTTGATGTTGTTTTTGAAGTATGAATAAGTCAATAAGTAATTTATTCCATTGAAATATCATTGATGTATTATAGAAAAGTGATTTATCTTTTTATAAATGACAAAAGGCACATCTGCGTCATTTTCGCTGTGGTATCCTGATACTACTCAGAACCATGATATTTTCACTGGTATCGTACCGTGGGTCCCAATTTTGGTACCGTGACAACACTAATCTGGAGGGGGTTCATCCGCAAAAACTAATGAAAAACTAAAAAATGGCATTCGGTATTCGGTACTCAGTATTCGGCCAAGCATTTAATATTATTCGGCTTCGGCCACAAATTTTCATTTCGGTGCATCCCTAGTTCTAAGTGACTGGTGCAGAGTTGAACGAGTCACATTGTGACACCAACAATTCAAAGTCAAAGTTCACTCCCACACAGGGTTTAAAGCATGCAACTCTGCATCAGTCAGAACTGAAGAAGCTTCTTGGATGAGAGGTGAAACGTCTTCAAGAAACGCAAGCAAGTCCAGTTGGCTACGATATAGCACTTATGATTACTTTGACCTGGATGACTGAGAATCTTCACCGACACCTCTGTAAGAACATTGACAGTTATCGTACTATGACCATTTCTTCATCTACAGTGTTGCAACTGGATGGAGAATCTCACCTTTATTTAAGTTTTTTTCAAAGGGGAAACTTAATTCATACTTACAGGGTTGGGCGATAAAACAATCTCGAAACGGGATCACAATAAAATGTCGATGACGATAATAAAGTAAAGTTACTTTTACTCGATATGGACGGACCTAGATATACCCAAACTTGGCTACTTGACGGTCTGCAAAATCTGTCGCTGGTTGGTGCCAACCAGGACGGGACACACAACAAACCTTTTCCATCACCTGAAAAGGTGGCATCCCAGCGAGTACACTGAGAGCATGGAAGTCCAGCCCCAACTGCAGTCAGTCCACTAACAAGTGTTGGCCAATGGCCGAGCACTTCGGCTACTGTGGGCAGCGCTAATGTGGCCTCACAAAAACAGCAATCAATTGTGTCCTCTTTTGCCGCCGTAACCCGAAAAGGAGCAGAGATATAACAGACGCAGTGATACTTTCTAGCCAAAGACATTATGCCCATGAGCACTGCGGAGAAAGACGGTTTCAAGTGCGAGACTGCGGGTAGGAGCTCACAGGCAGGAAATATTTTTGTCAAACTGCTCTGCCCAGCTTTACAACAAGTGCTGTGAGAAGCTGGAAAACCATTTGGTTTCTTCAGGTGTCAGACATTATCAGGATACTTTTCAAACTCTAAGCATTATCAAAATATATCGTGATAAATATCGATATCGATCAATACGGGGAAAATTATTGTGCTAATATTTTTTGCCGTATCGCTCAGCCCTACATACTTAGATTAAAAATAATCCATTATATTCAATTATTACACGGCTCTATTAAATGCTGTATTCTGATTGGTAAGTAGCGGCATTCTGCGGTCTGATATTACTGTGTAATGACCGTTGCTATGCAGCCCAGCGTTGCTAGGGACGCTGCTTTTCATTTTCTCTTGATTCCCTGTAGCTATTGTAGCGCAGATTCAGTCGTTGCCGGCAGTTTTTTTTTCTCTCCTCCCGATTTAATTTATAAATAGTGCTGCACGTTTTGGTAAAAATGTACGATTGCGATTATGGTGGACAATATCGCGATTTGCGATTGCGATTACAATATAATTACAATAAAATGTATTAAATAAATGGTATCATGAGTCTTTTTGCTTGATTCAGTGTTTCCCCTACATTATATCAGGGGGGCACTGACCTGACATTACGTTATTGTTATGGACAGACAGTGTGTCTGTGACCATCAACAGACTGAGCACAGTCAAACTCGCTGCTCACACAGCAGCGCAGCACGGAACTGTACACACAGCAGAGCGAGCCTGTGTTGCGTTCAGGCGTTGTCACGTAAATGACAAATTCCAGCACGCCATAGCACAACACAGCAGCATGTCAAGTGGGCCGAACCCGAGCAAAATTGCTCAATTTTTTCATTTGTTATGGAGTCCATGATTTCCCTGTGACACTTACAAATGTTTGCTTAACTGTGCTTGGATGTTGTTTTATGAGGCTCTGGCGGCTTTCAGTTGTCTCTTTGTCTTTAACGTTACACGGCTCCGCTTTCTCTCGCATGCACTCTTCCTACTTTTCCCTGTGCTGTGCTGTCTCAAGTGTTGATATAGATTGGTTGTGTTGCCGCGGGACGTGGCGACTTTAACTTTTAAACTTTTACACAGCACATCTTTCAGGTACGGCGACGTTGGACAGAAAGATGTGCTGTGTAAAAGTTTAAAAGTTAAAGTCGCCACGTCCCGTCTCAAGTGCTGATATAGATTGGTCATGTTGCCGCGGGACGTGGCGACTTTAACTTTTACACTTTCACAGCACGTCTGTTCAACGTCGCCGTAAATGAATCCAAAGTATCACCATGTAACAGACGTTTTTTTCGCCACCTACTCAGCCTGTTCATGGTCGAGCTCATGCTCTTCAGCGTCTGTGTTGGTCACTGCTGCACGCCGGCTGCACGCACCAGGATAGCTTGTGGGCGTGATGTCAATAAACTCCACACACTACAGGAGAGGCAGTCACGTTCACAGGCACACACGTTAACATTTATTTAGCCTACATTAAATTGCAAATCGCAGCCTTTTATGCGGTTATGTAATCGCACAGCCTGACATCCCAATTGCGATTAGATTAATCGTGCAGCACTATTTATAAATCAATAAAAATCGTATAATTAATCAATATTCTGTCTCAAATTATTTATTTAACTGATAATTAGCCGTGAAATAAGCTGCGCGTCAGGGTTCTATTCCCCTGTCGGGAGTTATTTTCCCAGTATTCACCAGCTCATTATATGTTATCCCTTACTTAACGTCCTTAAAGTTCATCCCTTTAAGGATCATTCTAACTGATAATAATACAAATTCTGTAATACCGTGAAACCACAACACTCCGAATTTTACTGGGGCTACTGTTGCAACCCTAGACACACAACACTTTTATTATGCTGCACAGGAATTCTCAGAAAGATTTTCTGATGTTTTACGAACTTTTCCTGTCGTTCATTGTCTATTTGTCACAATCTGTTTGCACCAGGTTCTCAGGAACGCAGCTCAGCCTCGCTTTGAATTTTCCGCAGTGGCTACTTGCGGTATTACTGCGAAAAACATCCCCTACGACCCAAAAAGCATTTTGACAGGACAAGTCAAACTGCAAACAAGCACAATAACTCTTTTTATTCTGAATTTTTGATCCATGGAGGTTTAATATTTAGAAAACATTCCTCAAGCTAAGAAACGCAAATTAAAAACCTGTGACAACATCACAGTGTAAAGTCTACGAGCCGGGGGAGATCTTATAGGCGTACTGCACATATTCAGTGGGCTGCAAACTAGGGAAGTAAAACAGGAAGCTAGAGGTTTTTCGGGTATACGCCAAGCGAGTAATTCTCATTTGAGCTAATAGGTGCTGTCTTAGGTTCCTGTATCTATAATCCATCCATGGTTTGCAGGTATGCTTTAATTTTTCAGGTGCACTCTGCTCTCCTTAACACCATTTGATAGGAGACATTTTCTGGGACCATAGAGAGCTGAGGGAGGAGGGCACTATACACAATTTATATTATTATTGGGTGAACTATTCCTTTAATGCACAACAGCTAACACTGGTCCAGCTCGACTCCTGATGATCTGTGCAGTCAGTTAACACTTTGTCGATCTGGTGTCTGAGCTGGGCCTCTGTATGACCTTGGATTACAACACAGAGGATTGCAACATGAGACCCTGGCCTCTGGGAAACAGTGTGACCGGCGGTATCTGGAGCTTACCGAGTCCTCTGGCGGACGGTTGATCTTGGCCCATTCGACTGAAGGACCTTTGACCTGCAGGAATCTGTGGAAGAGCTCTTTGAAGCCATCGAAATCTTTTCTGGAGATCTGAAACAGAACAAACCACAAAAACTTCTGATAAACTGAATGGCAGTGACAGTAAGAACAAAAATCTATCCAGCTGAAAGTCTGCAGAGTCAATATTTGTTTTGGGGTATTTCTTTAAGCAGATAAAACTCCGGCACATTTAGAGGAATGTTTACTAATGTACACAGCCCCATTCAATTAACCAATGAATACATATTTCCTGTGTTAATCAGCAGACACACAGAGGACAAAACCCAAAAAGTAAAGCTGGTGATTTACAAAAAAAAGAACATTTTGAAGCGCCAACAGGCACCAACTCTCAACTCTTTTAAATCAAGGCTGAAGACGTTTCTGCTGCTGCCTGTAACTTTCATTCTTGTATCTTATAACCATCTTCGTATGTTTAAGCTTGCTTTTATTTTCTCTTCTCTATCTCTATCTCTCTGTGCTTTTATAATGTCTTTCTTTTTCTTTGTCTCGATGCTTTTGATGTTTTATGTAAAGCACTTGGAGCTGTCTTATTGCCGAACTGTGTGACATAAATAAACTTGCCTTGCCGCATGAGTATTCATGGCAGCAGGATGGTGTGTGTGAGTCAAAATAAACTACAGAGTGTGTGTTCATGGAAATGAAGGGACATGTCGCGCAGTGCAACAGTGTGGCTCACTGATGTGATTTAAACAATGGAGCTCCACGGCACAGAGAACGACAGATACACACGCTACTCTTGTCAGAATACATTCACTGTTGGTTTTGGTCTTTTTTGCGCACGAGTGTGCAGAATGTGTGTGTGTGTAAACTCAGGGTTGTTCACCTCATGTTCAACCAGAAGGCCAAAACTCTACCAGCAGAGTCTGTGTTTTATCTGTGTGATAAGATGACCAAGTGGACCCTCTGTATGCAACACTTTACAAATATTTGTAACAGATACATTAACCTATGACGACACTCGTTACCTCGTGTGCCACTGTAACTGCAATCTGTGGTTCAAAAATTCACATTTTTAAAATGTTTTGATGCTGCCTCAGACTGAATTCACTCCGTTTACCACAGCTAAAAACACAAAAACAAGGCAGGAAATTGTGAACCTTTGGATTCTTGTAGGTCTGCTACAATTAGTTGTCGACTTATTGAAGTCAGCGCAAATGATAAAGGTCATGTCCATTTGTTGTACGATGCTGCCTGCTCCGTGACAATGTCGCCAACATTTTAGCCAACATGATGCCAGAATAAACAGCAGCGTATCCCTGACCATAAGAAGACTTTGATGCAGCACTAAAGCCAAATGAACAGAAAAAAACTAGCATTACCTTTGACCTTTGGATTTAGTGTGTCATTAGATGTGCCTGAATAGTGGGTGGAATTTGTGACCCACCTGCCAATTTTGGTGTTTCTAGGTCTTAGGATTTTTGCTGCAGGAACACTCACAGCAGAAAAAGACAACGACAATGAAGAAGACGAAGATGTAGAAAAAGATGATGAAGACAGCAAAGAAGACGAAGATGTAGAAGATGACAAAGAATAAGACAAAGAAGAAAATGACAGTGAAAAAGACAAAGATGACAAAGAAGACACTAAAGAAGACAAAGGGGAAGACGAAGACGTAGCAGACGATGACGAGATGACAAAGTAGAAGATGAAGACAAAGAATAACACAACAATAAAGAGGAAGATGAAGACGCAGGAAAACATGACAAAGAAGACAGCAAAGAAGACAACGAAGAAGACAGAGATGTAGAAAGAGACGATGACGAAGAAGATGACTGTATGACAAGAAAACAAAGAAGTAGACAAACATGACGAAAAAGACAGCAAAGACAAAGAGGAAGACAAAGAAGAAGACAAAGAGGAAGACAAAGAAGAAGACAAAGACGTAAAAGAAGACAACGTCGAAGAAGACGGTAAAGAAGATTGCAGAGAATAAGATGAAAATGACAATGAATAAGACAAAGAAGATAACGAAAAAGAAGACGAAGAAGTAGAAACAGATAATGAAGAAGACAGCAAAGAAGACGATGACATTGCCGAAGATGACAACGACGACGACAAAGAAGATAAAAGAGAAAATGACATGAAGACAAAGAAGACAACAACAGAGAAGAAGGTAGAAAAAAATTACAAAGAAGACAAAATAGAAAAGGATGACGAAGAAGACAGCAAAGAAGACAAAGATGAAGACCATGATGACAAAGAAAATAAAGAAAAAAATTACAAAGAAGACAAAGAAGTAGACGACAACAACAAAGAAGACGAAGACGTAGAAACAGATGACAAAGACAATAAAAAATAAGACGGCAACGACAAAGCAGACGACATCGAGGACAATAAAGAGGATGACGAAAAATAAGAAGGTAGAAAAGACAATGAGGAAGAACAGCAGCTGCTTGGACCTCTAAACACGGTTCTATCAGCTTAAAAATATATATATATATATCAGTCCATTCCCTACACAAGTTATTACAGTGTTAAGGCGACCCAGTGACTGTTTGATGATGTCTGACGTAAACTTTAAAAGAAACTCAGGAGTTGAGTTACAAGAGTTGAAAACTTCCACAGAAACATGTTCAGTAGTTGAGAGCTTATTCTGTAAAAACATTACACAGCTGTGGCTGTGAGGTGGTACGGGTATAAACTGAGACTTCTTCTTACCTCTGCCTCCGCCTTGTTGGCTGTACTGAGCAGCGCCTCCAACTCGCGGTGCATCGACTCCTCATGCTGCTGACGGAGCTTCTCCTGGAACTCTGTCATCGCTCCTCTGGTCAGGTCTGTAAGGACGCACAGATCTTTAAGTTTTACTTTTCATTAGAGACCAAACCCTGAGGACAATCTGTTTATCTGCGTGTATGAGGTCACACACTGCTGATAAAACAGTCAACTCAGACAGCCCTTAAAGACAGAGTGCCCCTTACAACGAAGACTCAACTTACACAGAACAGTTCAGGACAGTTTAACATCTATCAAAACACATACTGTAGAAAAATCTTAACAGGAGCATCAGGTTTACTAAGGTTCGGACGATATCTGATGTGTTTCTAAAGCTGCTTTCAGTCCTTAAAAAACAAACAAATTCAACAGAAAACACAAAGTATTGATTTTAAAGATATTACTACAAACTATTGGCAGCTGCAGTCTAAACATGTGAGCTGACCTTGAACAACCTGAATCAGCTGAGGCAAACCGTCTTGTTCAAGTTTGCAAATTGTGCAACGTCAGTAAAACATATCTGAAGTGAAGTCTCTGTATCTCTAAAAACTCAATCTGAACGCTACCATAAAAATAATATTTTTAATGACACCAACAACAAATTTTCCCCCAAAAAACAGCAGTATACTGGGAAATAACAGGGCTGCCCCTTAATAGTGCACCAACCTTAAGTCAACCAGAAAAGCATCGGCAGTCGGCAAGATTTCATTGGTTGCTTAGTCGTAGAAAAACACAAAACAAACAAATATGAAACTCTATTAGGAGCTGCACCTTGTCAAAATAAATCCAAACCTATATGACTGGACCGTGTGTGACTTTAATGTGAAAGGACAGACACAGGAAGTGTCCACGCTCAGCAGTCAGACAGGAGTCAGGTTAATTTCCAGGGCTGGTACCTGCGGTTATTCCACAGGCTAGTTAATAACATGTCGGGCAGGAAATCCAAAGTGTGGGATCATTTTGAGAAGGTGAAGGACGAACCCAAGGTGATATGTAAACTCATCTTCATTGGTCGACTACAAGGGGCAAAAAAATCCCACTGGCTTTTTGTTGAGGGCACCAGGACGACCCTAACTTCCGTGGTGGCCAACACATAAAGTCATCCCTGCAGCACATTTTCACATTTGTTCAATAAATTATTTAAAACATTTTCCACTTAAACAAAATATATGTGCTCTTGATCAATATATCCTTATCTGATTTTTTAAACTCCCAAATATCAATATCAGTATCCGGCTAAAAAAAATAAAATAAAAAAGATAAGTCAGTATTGGTTGGGCTATAAATCAAGTCTAAAGCACCGACTATCGAAAACTGTCAAGTACCAAAACTGGCGTTAAATATCTGGTCAGGTTTTGAGTCTTGTTTCCTCGTTGTCTGACTGGCTAGTTCCTGGTTTAGCTCAGAATTTCCCCAATTTTAGGTTGTAATTTATCTGGGAAAGGTTCTGGTTTATAGTGTTTATAGAACATTTGAAAAAGGAGCATTTTTGTATCTTTACTGCAACTATTTATTCAGTTCCTCACTTCGACTTTTCCATAAAGTCACAGCTGAAACTAAGATACCACACTTAAAAAAAAAAAAAAAAAAAAAAAAAATCTAATACAATTTGGAGGCTTTTCAAGGTTCATGTGTTGCAAACTTTGACGAGAAATTCTCCAATTTAATCTAAAATGTAAAGATCACAAACGCTGAAGTTACAGTTTCCAACAATTAATTCAGAGACAGACACGTCACGCTGTCCAACAAGACCAAGACTATTATTAATATTATTATTATTATTATCATTATTATTATTATTATTATTATTGTTGTTATTGTATTAAACTGATTTTAAAACAAGCTGCTGAAAAGTAAAATTCACTGTCAGTGTCTGCAAGAAAATTACGTCATTCAAAGTTTTGAAGATGAAATTGTTTTCTTATAATTCATGATAAATTATAAAAACCAAAATATTTTATACTCTGAAGTACTGTTTATGTAAAACACCATGTCACATCGGCTCTGCTACTTACTACTTATTAACTTCTGTGAAAGGACAAAAGTCTAATCACACACAAACACACTCAGTCCCAAAATCTGGTTGAACAACGTGGATATAAACTTACCAGCTACAGTCAGAGACATTTTATCACAGTCTACTTAAAACCAAGTCACAACAAAGATACTGTCTGAAGGTTTCTGGCAGCAGGTGCGTCGCTCACAGTGAGTCCATATGTTTGTTAAAAAGTTAAAAAAAAAATGGTCCCAGAGAGAAAAAGAGTCAGCAGCTGTCAGAGAACAACAGACGTCCTCCTCATCCTCAGCTCAGAGGAAGCCCACAGAACTGCAGCTCCGACCCTGAGCTCGACACAAGGCCTGCCCACAGCCACACACGCCAATCACACACAGCCAGACAGGGTGTGTGTGTGTGTGTGTGTGTGTGTGTGTGTGTGGGTGTGTGTGACAGCGCAGCCCACTCCACGTCACACACTCCAGAGTGCTTTAAATGTTCAGTTAGTTTAGTGTTTTTACATCCTGAGACACAATAAAACAACTAGTGCTGAACCAATATGTTGGTGAAGATCAGTGCTGGATTGTAACTAAGTACATTTACTTAAGTACAATTTTGAGGTACTTGTATTTTACTTAAGTCTTTCCATTTTCTGCTACGTTATATTTCTACTCCACTACATCACAGAGACACACTGCGCTTTGTCCTCCTCTACATTTATCTGACAATTTAAGTCACTTTGCAGATTCAGATGATTGATACAGAAATAAAGCTGCATGATGGGAGGAAAATATGTAATAATGTTCATGAATATCAAGATAACGATCTTAATTGCAATAAATAAACAAATATTAAAGTGTATGATCAATCATTATTATTACACATTAGTGGGACGTTAATGATCCCTGGGGGAATTTAAATGGTTGTATTTTTTGTTTATTTTGCAATTAAAAAATGTCTTTTTTCTTATAAAATCACCAAAATTACACGAGAAATTACAAGATTATGGAGGTTCGAGGACAGGCCTACTGAAAAGCCATCATGTCGATATCAGAGGCTGCTGATCGAAGCAGCAACTGGCTTTGGAAGAAGAGGAAGGACCCCAACCGGTCTGCAGAATGTCCAACATGAGGGCTAAAAGCGGAGGGGGGTACACCTGGGACACCAGGTGTCACTGTTGAGCCCTGTGGAGGTGTCGTCCTGTTAACGAAACACCAATGAAGGAGGGTGCCCACCTGATGACCCCCATGAAGTGATTACCCCTCTCACACTCAAGACACCAGGCAAGTGCTCATGACCCTTAAGGCCTTGACACACCAAGCCGACGGTCGACCGTCGACCAAAGTCAGGCCGTCGGTGAGCATCTGTCGGCCTAGTTTTTGCAGTGTGTCCTGCACCGTCGGCACTTTGGCTGCTAGCTAGAATCCAAACAGAGAGCCGGAGCTAGCTGGGAAGCTAGCGGAGCGTTAGCTGCAGCATGACCGGAGGGAAGCACAGCCAGTTAGCCTCCGCTAGTCTCTGAGCTAGCCCCGGCTCTCCGTTTGGATCCAACCGGAGCACCGAGCCCTGGTTTGTTATTCAGGTTAAAGTGGGAAGAAGCAGCGGGTTTATCGGGCAGCTGAGTGAAGTGGAGCCTGCGGAGGAAACACCGGGACCGTCTGGATGTAATAGTCCGTGGAGGTGCTGCGGTGCTCGGCTGCACAGATAGGAAACCCCTCGGCTGACAGGATGTACCACTCTCTCACTCCGCTCTCTCTCACGCAGGCGCAGAACGTACGTGCTACTTGGCCGTCGGATATAGTCCGTGTAGTGTGTTCAAATGCAACTGACACAGGGCGACGTGAGGCGACGTCGACGACGCAACAGTTGGCTTTTGTCGCCGCTAGTTCTTTGATGTCGGTTTGGTGTGTCCGCACCTTTAGGGACTGTAACAACAAGTCCTCTAAGCTCAACTATTATTACAGGTTAGAGAAGAAGTTATTGATCCCCGGGGTAATTTAGACAGGATGTCGAGGCACAGCTGGGGGGGGTCTGGTTTTGGTGACCTCAGAATTGCATCTCTGCTTTTTGCAGATGATGTGGTTCTGTTGGCTCCATCACACCGTGACCTCCAGCGTGCACTGGGGCGGTTTGCAATTGAGTGTGAAGCAGTCAGGATGAGAGTCAGCACCTCCAAATCTGAGGCCATGGCTCTCTGCTGGAAAACGGTGGATTGCCCCCTCTGGGTTGGGGGAGAGTTACTGCCTCAAGAGAAAGAGTTCAAGTATCTCAGAGTCTGGTTCACGAATGAGGGTAGAATGGAGCGTGAGATGGATTGGTGGTTTGGCGCAGTCCATCATGGTGAAGAAGGAGCTGAGCCGGGAAGCGAAACTTTGGATTTACTGGTCCATCTATGTCCCAACCCTCAGCTATGGTCATGAGCTCTGGGTAGTGACTGAAAGAATGAGATCGCAGATACAAGCGGCCAAAATGAGTTTCCTCTGTGGGGATTACATATCTCATCTGGCCTGGGAACACCTTGGGGTCCTCCAGGAGGAGCTGGAAAGCGTTGCTGGGGAGAGGGACATCTGGGGTGCTTTGCTCAGCCTGCTGCCCCGTGACCCGGCCTCAGATAAGCGGATGAAAATGGATGGATGATTTAAGTATGCTACCACAGGTTTAATTTGAATTTGAAATATTACTTATTTACATAATCTAAAATGTAAATGTATACTTGGAGTCTGTGCACTGAAACATTATTGCCATGCAAAATACTGCGACACTATGCTGTGTCTGCACCACCATCTCTAGCAGTGCCTCAGCTGCAGGGCTCCACCAAATGTGTTTTAAAACAGAAGTCTGACACAGATTCTGTTGCACTGAAACTGCTGATTGACAACATTCTGCACAGTGTTCAACATCCTTAAACATGACTCCAAAAGTATTTATTGTATTTCCAGTGAACTGTACTGTGGTCGGGGTGGAGGAGCCTCTGAAGCAGCTTTTCACACTGAGTATGAGAACTGGCTCCAGACAGCTGTGCGTCGTAGCCGTCACAACTGCTTCAATATCAGGTGTGCAAAGTCATTTAAAGGGCCGCATTGGACCCTTTGGCAGTCGGTTCTGGATCTTGTGCCGTATGTTTGACACCCCGGCTCCAACCTCAGATTTATAGTCTTGTAGTTGTTGCAGATGATACGTGTCAAAGTCAGGTGCAGCTGTCAGTTATGTCTGCTGCTTTAATGGCTCACATCTGCGATGTTGTAATGGTGACCTTTATCTTGGCTTCTACACCCTAAAGGTCAACTTAGTATTATTATTATTCAGAGTCTTTTAAAATGTGTTCAGAGTGATCACAGTGTGGCCTTAATGAGCGTTCAAATGAGGATCGTTATGAGTTGAATGTATTTTAATTCACCTCTAAAGCAACACGTCTGTCTGGTTTGTTTCCTTTAACTACTTACTATTGTTTTTAATTTTAATTTTACTAGTTTAGTTACAGTTTACTAATTTATATGACCTACTAAAGCACATTTTAAAACACATTAACTGTATGTCTTTTAACACGGCCTTGGGTTTCTTCCATATAACGCCTTGCTAAACCTTGTTTACAACAAAAATAACATCTTATAAAGTTAATTAATAATTTCAGATATGAATATTTAATATTTTTATACAGGTTATCTTCACATATTTTGATGCATACCTCAATAATGTTGCTGTGCGTTAGTTTTTCTGTTTGGTAGTTCACTGGTGACACGCCTCTAAATGACTCACTCACACTCACACACCCACACACACACACACACACACACACACACACTCAGGTCCATGACAGCAGACATGTCAGACACGTTTAAGTCATAGTTTAAATGCGTTAAATTCCCATTGAACCCCCCCACACTGCAGACACCAACTTGTTTATGACAAACTTTTGGTGCAAGCTCAATATGTCAATATGTCTGTCAGACGGAGCTTTACCCACCTGGACACAGTGGACAGCCTCAAAGACACAGCCGAGGACAACAGGGACAGCCTGAGACGGGGACAGACCACCAACACACCCGGAGGACTCAGTGTTATAAAACAGAACTCGAGTTAAACGGTTAAATGTCGCAGTTTCATCCTCCTGCTGCAGCCTGTTAGCTTCTGTAGCTGACAGTCCGCCAGACAAACCCGCTGCTGAACGCGGTGACGTAGGACGCACAACAATAAAGAAGAACGGTGATTGGTGAAAGTAATCTGTCAATCAGAGGAAGTTGCCGACATGTCCCGCCCACACAGAATGGTCTATTTTTACTACAAAAATGATTTTATTTTATTAAAATAACGTCTTTATTTCAATGTTATTTAAATATATTAAGGTTTTAATACAGTTAACTAATATTTCGTCACATTTCGGATCAGTTTTATTCAGTTTTATGCCCATTTTATTTATTTTTAGTTCAATTTTGACTCAAATCCTGTTTATTCTACTGCAAATTTAAACATTAGAAATAATTTAACTGATTTTTTTTTTTTTTTACATAATTTTATTGTCCCCTTTACACTTAACCTTCATACTACTATTACTATCTGTTTATATCTGAACACACTGCAAGTTACATATGTATTTATTTGTTTCTGTCTATATTACAATTTATTTTATCACTAGAGTATCTCAGCCTAAGAGTAGAGCTGCCACACCATGATTTATAAATAAAAATAAGATAAAATAAAATGAGATGAAATGAAATTTAAAAAAAAAGAAATAAAATGAAATAAAATAATGAAATAAAAAAAAAAGAAATGAAATAAAATAATGAAATGAAATAAAATTAAATGAAATAAAATAAAATAAAAAAGGAAATCAAATAAAAATAAAATCATTATCAGGTAATGACATGAAAAGTTGTTTTTTTTATTATAAAAAGATTTCATTTTATTTTTTTTTTTTTACATTTTTACAAGATACTTTCACGTTATAACAAGAAACTGTTCTTGTAAAAAAATAAGTTGTAACAATGAATTTTTTTTATCTTGTTATTTCATGTTATTATGCAATAACATATTGTTTTAATATGAGGCAACTACCAGCCTACCACATATTATATTATATTATATTAATATATATTTGATCTTGTTCAGTCATATGAAATTCAGTATTACGTTAATCAAATGACCAAAAACACACACAGTGAACCTTTTAGGGTCCCTCAGCAGTCTTTTACTGCATTTTTTTTTTTTTTTAATACAGTAGGCCGACTGATTTTATTTGCAGTTCACACATTTTGTTTTGAAGAGAATATAGTTTCTTGTTATTGTATTTTTTCCAAATATAAAGAGAGTGAATGTTCAAGCTCCTAAGATAATAAAT